AAACGGAATTCGTGATTCTCGTAAGGTATCACTAAGAAAGTCCTTTCCCGTTGCATTCCGACTCGAAGGAGTATATATTGTATTGGTAACTTCTGGCCAATCGAATGTGGTTGATGGCCCCCATAATACGTTTACTTGGAAATTGGATCTCTTTAATAAAAATTCAAACACAATTGAAAAATTTAGGAGCATGCTAAAAAAATTTCTAATACAACCTAATTATACTTGACATGTGTATTAAATAACTCAAATCCAATATTTAAGTGGGACCCAACAATACACGTATCAATTAGCCTTTCTTTGGCCCCTATTATAATGAGATTTCATAGTAATGTATTTTAGAATTGGACTTTTTGAGAGAATGTGGGGAAAAAAAAAGGAGGAAATTTTTTTTTACGTGTAATATTATTTTATTGGAGAATGTGTGGTTGAAAAGAAAAAAATGTATTAAAATTTTAATCGGAACTCAATAGGTCCTGTTTGGTTTTCTTTCTTTTTAAACTCATTTTTTCTCAAACTTATTTTCAACCACATTTTTCAAATATAATATTTTACACGTAAATTCAAAATATTCTCATACTTTTTTAACCCCACATTTTTCAACAATTCACTGTTACAAAACTCATTTTATCAAATAATATCAATCAAACAGGGCCTTAATAGTGATAGTGAGTACAGAGTTTCATACTTCGAAAGCACTAAATATTTTCGGGACATGCTAATAACAAAACTTAGGTATATAAAATATTTGTCTTTAACATATTAAACTTCAAATGAAGTGATAATTCTTTTCAGGATAAACATGCTTGCAATTTAATTCGATTTACTATTTTAATTCGTTTAATAATCTTTCTTGTTCCCATTCTCTTATGCTAAATATGATAGAATCCGATTACTTAAGAAGGTTTTTGCGATACAATTTAATAATTCATGCAACAAATTAAGATTAAAATATTTAAATTGAAAATATTAATTAGAAGGTTGGGCTTGTAAGAGAAACAAAGGCCTCTTTTCTAGCCTCGTGGCTTTGAAAGAAGGGCGGATTTAGAGGTGAATTCGCTGGGGAGATTTTTCTTTCTGATAATAGATAGAATTTTTAGATTATATATTTGATAATTCTTATTAATAACAAATATTTTTGTTAGTTTAGTTGGTTAACCCTTTCATTATTGAATTGAAAGTCTTGTGTTCGAAACTCTTCAAGAGCAATAATTTTTGTATTTCAATAATTTTTATCAAAACAAATGCAAGAAAGGTAATTTGAACCTGCTACCTTCCTTAAATATATTAATCACTTTACTATCATGTCATTTATTGTTTTTTAGCACATAATGTAACAAAATAATATATATTTAATTTTACTAGTTTAATACAAGTATAAACATTTTGATCGGTGCTTTGTCCCTTTTCTTGATTTCTTTTTCTTTTTTATTATTTTTCTTTCTAATCAATTAATATGAGAGTTTGATCAATTAATGGTGGATGAATTTGTAGAAAAAATTGGCCTTAGTGTCACAAGGAATCTTTCGACCAAACTTATTTAATTAATAAAAGGTTCCACTTTTCGTTCACAAAAAATCGATTGTGAAAAAGTTGAATCATACAAGCACATAAAATTGATTTAAGCACATAAATAATTTCAATTTTATTAATATAATAATGTTTGTTTAAATAACTTTAATTGTAAGCTGAATTTTGACATTTTATTAATATATATTGCATATTTAATCGAAAAATAAATTAAGACATTTTGTAGATTATTGAACGATTTTTTTCATCCAAAATGAAAGTTCGTACATAATTTTAGTTCTAGTTCTAGTAGTGTATCTAGTTCTAATCCGTACGGTTTTTTGAATATTATTTAATTCAATATTAATAAATAACCCTGCTATCACGGACGTTGACTGTCCACGGTAAACTTTCAACACTCGCGATCTACCCTAGCTGAACTCGATCTCTGGATTCTCCCCTGAATTCAGAAGAAAATGCTTCGGTGAGTGAACTCACAAAAAAAGAATAAAAATTTAGAAAGCTTCAAAACTCCTCAAGAATTATAGATTAAGTGCTTACTTGATATATTGCAATGCACAAGAACATTATAGTAAAACACATTTTGGTTTTCAAATGAATATTACTCAATATATTATAATCCAGCTTATCAAACATTATTTCTTTCTTAATATTATTATAGTTTTAATTATCAAACATGTCTTTAATAAAAATACAACATGCATGAAATTTGCATGGAAATGTGTTTGATTGACTTAATTTTCAATTAAAAAATTTTATACTTGTCCATATTTTATTAGTGGATAGATGATAGAAATGAAATAGATGAGAGAGAGAGAAGTGTGTAAAAATTAAAAATATATCACTCTCTAATGAAAATATTTTCCTTGTTTTTGAAGAAAATATAATTACATGACCAACTTTTTAAAATTATTTTAATGGAAATAAAACGTCAATCAAATACCTCAAAAGTAAAAAAATTGATGAAAATGACATTTTCCATTAAAAAAAAAAAAAAAAAAAAAAGCTAATCAATCACCCTAAATGTCAAACAACCAATTGAATACAATTGGAACTTTTAAAGGCTTCTATAGACTTTTTTAGATGGGTGACTTTTATGAATTTTATGAACTTTTATAAATTTTTTAAGAATTAATAAAAATCTTTCATGGAGTTCTATGGACTTTGATTAAAGATTTTTAAAAAATTATAATGATTTTTCATTTTACAAATTCATCATATATTTGAAAAATTATAATCTATCTTACTACATAATTACCACTTTCGAGAACTACGATGTTCACAAAATTTTCTTGGGTAAAGTTAATAGTCACAATCCAGTCATTCAATCTTGGCGCAAATAAAATAATAAGATAATAATAATAATAATAATAATAATAATAATAATAATAATAATAATAATAATAATAATAATAATAATTTATATCAATTTCTAAGAGCATAACCAAATTATTTTTTTTCACGAAATTAACATAGTTTTTAAAAATACAAATTGTTCTTATATAAAAAAAGAATAGATCGATTACATGAAATTCTACGTTTTAAAACAACTGCATATAATTTCAATTCAAAAATAATTATGTACATATAGAATAATTATAAATTGATTATCACAAATGAATTGAAGAGATATGTCCTAGAATTGAAAGATTTCTTTTTAATCTTCACAAATCTCAAACTATATAAGGGATTCTCTTTAAGAATTGCTATTTATATTTTACCAAAAAGTCTTTAGAAGTCCAGTAAGTAGAAAATTTTTCCAAAAGTCACTGTTTATTTGAATACCTCATAATTTATAGATATTTCTAAAAAATTTCAATTGAATACCCATGACTTCTCAACATTTTTTAAAAGTCTCAAATGAATCCGCACCCTAAATGGCATCAAAACTTTTTTTTTTTTACTAGTACTCTAGACTAGCTCTTTGATATATCTCCATTATAAAGTAATATTGATCGATCCAAATAATTCAGTGGAGACTCGCGAAATTTGAATATACAACAATATAGTAAGTAAATTGATCAAACAATGACCGAATACTTTGAATTTCTCACAATGAATGTTGAGCGATATATTTAGAAAGTGTTTATAAACGATTTAAATTATAATGAAATATAAAAAATAATTTACTTTTAAAATCTCTCGAAATATGTGAATAATTGTTTCACAATCATATGCATGAACTAACTGCGTGGTAATAATGAAAGCAGTGGGTGTGGGTTGGAGTGGAGTGGGATAGTGGAAATACCCTGCAACGGCGCACATGGAATGGAGTTTGACATCCTCCAACAGATTCACATGTCCACTTTGAAGAGGACCCCAATTGAATCTTATCACATGACATGCCTCTTATATTTTGGGGCCCACCCCCTCTCTCCTTTACTACCTTTGACATCAATTTGTTAAAATAATTAGATAAATTTAGTATTTATTAGATTCAATGTTTTAACACTTCGAGTAACATAATTTAGTATTTATTAGATTCAATGTTTTAACACCTTGAGTAATATAATTTTGAATTATATTAAAAATTTTATATGTTGACTTATTGCTGGATGGTAAACAATTAGCCATAAAAGCTTCAAGAGAAATTTTTACTGCCCTGTTTGGTGGAAATTAAAATTAGTAAATTTTGATCAAAGTGGGTGAATTGTATGCTTAAAATTAATTATTGACTTTAACTTAGATTAAATTCTTGATTTTAATTTTTACCAAACATTGGTATATATTAATATATATAGAAACTTGATTTATGAGAATTTTTTGGATTTAATTATTACTTATAATTCAAGCTCTTCAAGCAGTCCCTTTTCCAATCAATATCTTGAATAATTTTCATTTATAATAATAATAATAATAATAACCATCTTCTTTATTTTATCAATTTGACAGAGACAATGTTGTCTTTTAAGAAAAAGAAGCCAATAAAGTGTAGGTTATCCAATTTGGGGTTCAAGAAAAAACGGAAAGTTTTGAAGACAGTAACAAATTCTATAATTCATTTAGAGTCTAAACGATTATCAATCTATATGACAATGTCATATTGTTCAATTTTCAAAATGTTTTCAAAATTCATTAGATAATAGGACGGTGATTCTAATGACAAGAAAATCAATGATTATCTACACTCTTAGAAGAACGTTATTCTAACTTTTTCTTTTCTTTTCAAAAAGTCAAAATTTTATGTTGCCATTTAATTTCCATCCATGAATCATTATCAACTAGAAAACAAATTTAATTCTAAAGAGGAGAAAAATATTGGTTAATTATCATCCGTTTAACTAAACTTCTTTAAACGAATTGGTCAGTCTAGACCAGTTTTTAGAAAAACGTCAAAAATTTACCGAACAATGTATGTCGAAGAATTGCTACAGAGAAAAAATCAATGATAGATCGAACGCTACTATTAAATATTGTGTGCTAAACATAGCTCGACCGAACATTAACCTAAACTCTAGAAAGAGAAAGAGAGGGAGAGGGAGAGGGAGAGGGAGAGAGCATACCAAAATTCTTCGCATGAATCATTGAAAGTAGGCTACTGTCACCATGTCAATACCCATTCCAGCAAGATTGAATATCCAGCTCGTTCATTGGTCCACGTGTTACCTTTTTACGCAACATAAACTCTCTCCCGTCATTCAAATTCTCCTTCTCTTGTTCTCCATTATTGCTATTACAAAACACACTCTCTAAAAGCACCATTAATCTCCTCTTTTCTTACACCCAAGAAACACAACAACTGATCAAGAAGAAGAATTAAAACCCTAGAAGAAGATCAGGCCATGGAAGTTGGAGTAATGAAAATGGTGAATAAGGAAAAGTTGGGTTTGAAAGAGACTGAACTGAGGCTAGGGTTACCTGGAACTGATGAAGAAATTATGGGCAAAAATCTCATCATGAATTCTAATGGAAAAAGAGGGTACAAAGAAACTGTGGATTTGAAGCTACACTTTTCTGATATGGATCGAACTGATGATCGGAAAGAAAAGAATTTGCACAAGGAGAAGACTCCTGCCAAGTAAACTTACTTTTTTCTTAACGTATGTTTGTTGCGTAGTACTGAATTACGGGACAAGTTGACTATATCATACATGTTATTGGATTAATTTTCGCTTTTCTTAATTTTTATCTTTGTTTTTTGTTTACTAGAATGATAAGTATTGATTATGATCAAGAGAAAGCAAAAAATTAAAGTCAAAAGAAATGTTTCGCACTCTGCAAATTAAGGTATATATGGGTTTGAAAATAAGTGAGTTATACTAAGCAAATGGAAGTTTAGGGCACAGGTTGTGGGGTGGCCACCGGTTCGGTCCTTCCGGAAAAATATTATGGAGGTTCAAAAGAATGGGTCCGAGGAGACAACCGACAAGACGGGGATGGGTGGCGCAGCCTTTGTGAAGGTTAGCATGGACGGCGCGCCTTATCTTCGAAAGGTAGATTTGAAGATGTACACCACTTATCAAGAGCTTTTTGATGCCTTGGGCAAGATGTTCAGTTCCTTTACAATTGGTAATCTCTACAATTAATATGGATAAATTCCTTGTCAAACCATTTTACTTAAAAGTTCTATTATAAATTGTAGAAAGATGAATTTGTTTACTTATAATATAGACAGTATAGGAGCCAGGACACATCTTGTTAGAAATTTAAAAAGTTAGATTAAGAGAAAAAGAAGCCGATGCTCTTAGTCAATTTTATATTATACTCAGCACTTGTTTGGTTTTGCTAAAAATCATATTTTTAGTTGATTTTGATAAAAATTGATAAAATATATGGTTTAAAAATTGTGGATCCCATAAAATAAGTCATTAAAATGAGCTTTAAGAAATGGGGTGGCTCATTTTTTGGGAGTTATTTCCGTTGCATATAAGTAGGATGTTTTTCGTGTAACATTTATCTTCTTTACGCGTAGTAAACATTGTATAAATATTTACGAAATATAGGTACACATATTTACTCGTAAGCGAAAAATGGCTTGATCTTTCATGAACAAGAAATTTTCTCCCTTCATGGAATTAACAACGTTGTATGTCTGAATTGATCCTTAGGAATGATGGACTTCATGAATGAGAGCAAACTTATTGATCTTTTAAATGATTCTGACTACGTGCCTACTTATGAAGACAAAGATGGTGATTGGATGCTTGTTGGTGATGTCCCATGGAAGTAAGTTTTCAAGTTTTCTATAAAGATCGATATGTTTGTTACTCTAATATTTTACAATACCTACTTACTCAGACGGTTCATTATACATTCTCCGACTTATTTGATACAAATCGCGCAGGATGTTTGTTGAATCATGCAAGCGCTTGCGCATTATGAAGGGAACGGAGGCAATAGGACTAGGTTAGTATATAGTCGATCATCAACCCCAATAATGTTGGAATGATTCAATATTATTGAGTGTTACTCATTTTTTTATTAGCGAATATTGATTGAAGTCGATATTTTTGAGTTTCAGCACCTAGAGCCATGGAAAAATGCAAGAACCGAAGCTAAATTGGCAAGTGCCATATCGGTGATCTTTGTGGCATTTATCTGAAAAAAGGCAAAGCGAAGACACACTGGATTCTGTCTGTATTATTTTCTTTTAATTACATGTGTAATTTCTACTTAATTTTAAGTATTCATATAGTATGGACCCAGACAATATAACTCTTCTCACGTAAGACTTGGTTTGTCTAGCTTGTTTATTATTAATTATCAGTCTAATGATGTCATACTATTCGGATACATTTTTATATAATAATTGAGTGTGTTTTGAAGCTTATGGGATTCTTCGTAATGTGCGTTTAATTTGTTAATATGGCGTAGGGAGAACGGATTTGTACAGATTAGGATCAATATCATGTGCATATTGAATGTGGCATTTACTTTCTGCTCATTTTTGTTTTGACATATAGGGTAGGAATAGGATAGGATCGGGGAGTGGAATCGACTACAATCTTCTTGTCCAGTTAACCGTTACTTGATTTAATACAACTAAATCGTTCACAACCAAAACCTCTAGGAATGAGGTTGTTCCGCCCCTTGTCCCCTAAGTTGGCTAATATGTCCTTAATCATTCGGTGCTTCAATATGACCTAGTTGGCGAGCGATAGCAAGTTGCGACACGGACCAATCCTAGTTTGCTTGAGTTAATAGCTTGAGTTAATAAATTATACGTCCTCTTGTTGAATTATAACTATGTCTAATCTTTCTTGAAGCATAGCCCAAAATCAAATCTTCATTATTTATCCAAAACGGGAACATACCATTAGGGAGCGATTCAATAACTGTAGTCAATTCAATTGGAAAAACTAAGATTCAAACCATTTTAATAGCAAGTGATAGCCTAAAAGTTGGATCTTGAAAAATTAAGACGAAATCTTGTTGACCTGTTGTTAACCTGTCGAGATCAATTGGGCATCAAAGGAACAGGCAAGGTTACCGAGTTTGTCAATTGTACATTTACAAAATAAAATAAAATCAGCTGTATAGACCATGCTATGTTATCATATCATAAATGTGCTACAATCAGTGATAGATCTAAAAAATTTGAGTGAACGACTGAAAAATATATGGCAAAAAAAATTCGACGAAGCTAACGCAAGCAACCACCATGCTTCGACAGGTACTAACTTCGCCCCTGACTACAATCTTGTTTCAACTTTGGTCAATTGGTTTATTCCTTTAATTTTTTACACTTCATGCTCAAAAATGGGTTTAGAAAAACTCTTGAACGGGAGCTTCATAGTTAGGGCTACGCAGAATATAGTATACTCAAAAGGTCAAACCCTTAATTCGTCCTTCTCTAATTTTATCAATAGTCGATATCATATGAATACTTCTTCTTTTATCCACAATAATTCATATAATGCAAGCAATATTGCATTTAAATTATCGGTAGAGTTTACATTCATAATACTGAAATTTTACTTATTGGATAGTCTGAAACTTCGTTGTTTGTAATATCTGTTTTTTATTTGTTGATAGAAACAAAATTAAGGAATTAACAGATAATTTGAAGTTTGAACTGTGAAGGCAATACACACGCCTCTGGAATGGAACAAACAGGTACATGCTCCAATTCTGGAGTAACAACATTGTTGAGGCATGTAATTTATGATATCGAAATCACAGAACAGCGGCGTTTCCTAGACCTCGACCGTTCCTTCTCATCACATGGCTGCAAATGGAAGAGTTGAGTATCAGAGGCCTACAAGAAACAGACATATCTAACAAGAATTCACATAATATCTAACATATAGAACAAAAACATGAAGTACATTAGGTATGTAAAAGTTTAGTTTGTTCTCCAAGAGTAACAAAGCTAGTAGAAGCACATGATTTTATGAACGTAGTTTAATGTGCAATTTTTCCAAGCAAATGCAGAAGGAACATTGAGTTAGCTCTTTTATAAAAGGTTGAAGTTTCACCTGAGGGCTGAATAAATATGGTACATTGACTCTTTTGGATCTATCAGGTAGCCGTTTGATGGGAAAATGATTCTCTACAGCCAAAAAGTCATAGCAGGCCTGTATAAATATTGAAGCATGGATTAGTGTTAGCCAAATAGATTTTGTAGGAAAAACCATCAGATGCTCGGCAGAGTGCCAATACATTTATACTTCACCTCAAAATTTAGTCAAAAACATTAGGTCGAGCTGTGGGCGAATTTTTTATTATGCTGCTTAACATCTAGCAAGCATTGAAGTGGAAAAGATAGATTTGTCTCAAAATTTAATTGATCGTAGTAAATCAAGATTCGGATGATATCTTTTAAGATGTATGTCGTTTAGGATGGATTGGAGAAATGGAACCGAGATGTCGTATCTGTCATCCAGAAATGATGATAACAGTAGCATAAATGCATAATCCTTTATATTGAAAAAGTGAACAATAATAGTCGATTTATGTAATGAGAATCCATATATCTTAAATCAAACTCGAGAAGATACAGGGGAAAGATAAAATTAAATCTGCTGATGGATATATACTTTTCTATAAAGGTGGGAAAGTGTTATAAATAACAGATACTTGTCTTAAAAATGTAGTCGAACATTGATGACATTTTACTCTCGAATCACAACTGAGATAGATTAGCTTGTTTACCTGCTTGTGAATGGTCTAGACCAACATGTCTTGGCAGCCTGATGCATGCACACTTCTTAAATTGGGGCACTTGAGTAACAACCTCTCTGTGGTCAGAACAAGTAAAACATTAACTTCAAATTCAAGGAAAATGCTTCAATATTTTCAAAAGGTCACCTCTGGGGAGTGATGTGAAGAACATACCTGGATGTAAATATTTACAAGAGTTGAGATCCAAATCAATGAGTTGTGGGCAATTTAAATATAACGCCTGTGTTAAAATTTGCCATATTCAGAAAACAAAACAATATTTGAGCAGGAGAAAAAATAAAATATCCTCAAAACTAGAGCAGCTTACATCCAAGGCAGAATAACCCCATAAGCTTAGCTTCTTCAACTGGCTGTGTTTGATGATTAGCTTCTGGTATATAAGATGCAACTTGCTGTTGGGAGTTCTCTGCAAGTCACTATCATTGTCCTCTTCATTAGAAATCTCTGAATTTGGATCACATATGGTCATTCCACAGTCCATGAGTTCCAGACAAGGCAGTTGAGCAGCAGCAAATTGAATGCCACCTACAGATCCACGAGACAGATAAAATTACTGAGTTGTTAAAAATGTACTGAATTAAGTAACTGCAATAGCATCAGAGCAGAGTTCGAAGATTACTTGAAATAATGTTGGGGCAAAGAGCAAGAAGTAGTTTCGATAATGTTTCTGGAAAGACATTGCAAATCATTCCAAGGCCACTGCCACTGATACTTGACCTACGTAAAGATACAGCATCAAGGAAACATTTACTTCTTAACTGAAGCAAATAAAATAGTCAATTAGAGAAATATCCATCAAATTTCCATATTCAAGTAGTTACACCCAAAGCAAATCAGAAATAGTATTTGTTACAAAGCACATGACACTATGAGCCGGAAATAAGGATACGGTTAAGATAACCATTATTTCAACAAACTCTGTACCTCTAAAATTAAATAATACCAAAACAAGGGCCTGAAACGTACCCACTCAGATCAAGCAATTCCAGCTTTGAGTAGCTTGAAGCAATAGCTGCAACTGATGCATCAGTAATCTCAGATCCAAGCACAAGAGAAAGCAATCGCAATCCCCTAAATATAGAACCATTGATATCTTATTTGTCAAATTTCTTATCATTGACTCATCTATTTCATGCAAATAAAGTTTGAATGACTCCACAAAACTCAAGGACTTGAGGAAATCAATATGCACAAAAGGTGAGAAAACACTGCCAACCTCAAATTTGAAGCAGTAAGAGCAAGCACAACAGCATGTGAAAGCCGCATTGAGGCAATGTGGATGTTCTGTAGCTTTGGGCAGCTTATTCCCAAACCATTCACAATAGTCGTTAGATCAGTGCTATCATTTTCTTGCCCAGAAAAATCCAAAGATACCTCCTTCAAGTTGGGGCAATTAAAAACCTATGCAAAACAATGCATACCATGTAGAGCAGATTGAGATCAGATCATATGATAGAAATGATTATTGAATCTGTAGAGGAATTACCATCTTAGAGAGGGAGTGAAGATCTGAGAGCCAGAGAGTAGACAGACTAGTTGAAGAAAAATTTAAACCTCCAAGTTTACAGCACCCTTCCATCTTAAGACTGGTCAGGCATCTTTTCTCAGAGATAAAATGACTTAATTCGTCCCTGCATGAGAACAAAAGTTTGTATCTCATCTACTTCTGGTGGAAATACTACATAGCCACTATAATCTTAAGATAAAATAGGCAATCTATGTCATCAAGGATTATTTGGCTTTAAAGACTCAGATAAGAGCAAAAACCGTTGGAAAATAAGGGGTTGGAGAAGAAACAACAACAAAATTATAGAAACAAAATGAATAGAAATCACAAAATACGTCAATAACGAATTTGAGGCTTGAACACAGGATCGTTGTCCTCAAACTATATTTGCCCCCTCTCAGGATTGAAGGAGATGCTTAAGGGTTTTGGCAAACGATTCATAGAATTATATCAAGTCTTGTAAAGGATTTAACACCAAAGCACAAGTGCAATCCTCCAAAACTTTAAGAACACAAAGGAAGATCTTGAATATGAATGTAAATCAATAGTTTGATTCAATATGGAATGATATATGGATCTTAAGATGTTTTTAATGATTCTAATAATGTTTGTATTGATCATTCATCACCTATTTATAGGTCTCAATCAATGCATCACGAAATGGTGCCAAAACAAGATGAAAAGTGACAACTTTTAATCCAAACGGCTCCCAAGTTTCAAATTGAAAAATTAGTCAACGACTATTTTTTAACACTATGCGTACGCATAGTATAAACCTTGCACCGTGCGTACGCATAGTAGAAGTAAAATTTAATTCTGATTTTGCCAAAACACATCTCGCGTACGCACGAAATTAAGCCTATACGTACGCATAAGCAAAAAATCAAATTTTGCATTTTTTAATTTCTTTTGATTCTACCAATTCCACAATTGAGCCCAACAATAAGTCCATTATCATTCCATTGATTTTGAACAAATTTTCAACAATCCCCCACTTGTTCAAAATCAATATGATCACATTCAAAAAGACGACACTTATGCATAAGGAATATCTTTCGATTTAAATCTAACTATAGTGTAATTCGAACAAAGTAAAGTCAGAATCAGAGGTAACATGAAAGCTTTGAACCAATTATTCCTTGTGACAATACCTGTAAGAACACACACATAAGTATCACGTGTTCTCAAGTTCCTCAACTCGCTTAACACTTTTATGGCCTTGCGCTCATCCTATTCGACAAACTTTTAAGAGAGGAACTCCAACTCTCAATTGAGGCAGCACCACCTCGAAATTAGTCTAGGTGAAGTTCTTCCAGTACCTTTGCTACTTTTAGAGGTATTTGTATTTTAGCACTGAATTTCATTAAGAGCTTTAAATTCAACCCTCACATCAGTAACAACCAGCATTATTTTCATTAGGATAGGTATTGCGGATTTGAGTAATGCTGCAACCATCCACATATTGAATGACTTGTTGTTACCCTTTGAACCCGTGGATTACTTTTTGAGTAATGACAGGTAGGGTTGCCGTCATTGGTGGACCTTTTTAGTTAAGAAGTTTCAACCCCATCCCACTCGAAGTAGACGCCACTAAATCTCTATTTAGTGCTTTAGTTAAAGGATCCGCTAAATTCTCTATTGCCCTTACATAATTAAGGAAAATTATTCCATCTTTGATTAATTTCCTTATGTAGTCATGTCTCGACTCATATGTCTAGACTTTCCATTGTATATCTCGTTATATGCATTTGCTAACGTGGCTTGACTATCACACATGATAGGTATTGAAGAGATATTTTTCAATCCTAAAGGTGTCTCATATAAGAGATCCTTAAGCCACTCGGCCTCTTTCCCGGTATCCGATAAAGCCACAAATTCAGATTTCATGGTCGAGTGTGTTATACATGTTTGTTTCTTTGATTTCCAAGAAACAGCACCTCCTCCAAGAGTGAATACACAGCCCGAAGTGGATTTACTTTCACCCATGCTAGATATCCAACTAGTATCGGTAAATCCTTCCAATATCATTGGGAATTTAGTATATTGTAGGCCCAAGTTCTTGGTCTTCTTTAAGTATCCAAGAACTCTCACAGTAGCCTTCCAATGATCATTACTCGGTTTGCTAGTAAACCTACTAAGTTTACTTATTGCATAAGCTATATCCAGTCTTGTACATTGAACAGCGTACATAAGACTCCTTATAGCACTTGCATATTCTAATTGAGCAATCGCCCTTCCATTATTCTTTATTAGTTTTGAACTTGGATCAATCGGAGTACTACATTCCTTTATGTTCAAATGTTTGAACTTATTTATCACATTCTCAATATAATGTGATTGACTTAGATAGTAACCCCCACTAGTCTTTGTGACTTTAATACCTAAAATGGTATCCACTTGTCCAAAATCCTTCATCTTGAATGTAGAAGAAAGAAACCTCTTTATTTCTTCTATTCCGTCCATGTGATTATTCATAATCAGCATGTCGTCAACATACAAAGATATAAATGTCACATAATCATCACAAATTTTAGAATATAAACATTTATCAACGCTATTATATTTAAACCCAAATGATATTATTGCTAAGTCAAACTTCTCATACCATTTCTTTGGTACTTGCTTCAGACCATATAAAGATTTCACCAACTTGCACACTTTATGTTCATTTTCAAATAGGGCAAACCTTTCGGATTGTTCCATATAGACGCCTCATCGAGATCTCCATTTAGGAATGCCGTCTTGACCTCCATTTGATGAACATGCAAGTCATATATTGAAGTCAAAACAAATAATATCCTAATCGATGTTATTCTAGCTACCGGTGCATAAGTATTAAAATAGTCGATTCCTTCCTTTTGTCGATATCCTTTGGCTACTGATATACCCTTGAAGGTATTTAAGGATCCATCAACATTGTATTTTCTCCTAAATACCCATTGCATCCAATAGGCTTGGATCCCAATGGTAAATGAACAAGTTCCCAAGTATTATTAGACATTATCGAATACATTTCGTCCTTAATTGCATCTTTCCAAAAGGTGCTATCACAAGAAGCCATAACTTTTTTATAAGTCTTAGGGTCGGTTTCTACTTGTAGAACAAAATGAATTATTCTCACAACATTCAACTCATTTTCCTCTACTAAGTAAAAGGAGATAAGCTGAAAATTGATTTCATTCAATCCCAAAGACTTCTCAACTCGAATTCCCTTGCTTCTTCGTGGTTCACTAGATTCATCAACATCCTTAAAAGATATTTTATCATGTGTTCCACTTGAGCTAGGGATATTTTCAAAATTTTCTCTCATTCATTATCCGAAGATAACGAATCCTCAAAGAACTCCACATCATTGGATTTGATACTCACATTGGACTCCAAATTTAGTAATCTGTAAGATTTGTTATTGTTTGCATATCCAACAAAGGCACATTTAATACCTGTTGAACCCAATTTGGTCCTATTAAGATTCGTGTTCTTGCAATAGGCAAGACACCCCCACTCTTTGAAGTATCCAATGTACGATTTTCTTCCTTTCCACAATTCATAAGGAGAAACCTTAGTATATTTTGAAGGAATCCTATTAAGTATTCTACATGCACTTAATAAAACTTCACCTCACAAGTTAAATGACAACTTAGCATGAATAAGCATGGAATTTATCATTTTTACAAATGTTCTATTTTTTCTTTCAGCCAAGTCGTTTTGTTCGGGTGTCCTAGGTGCAGAACATTGATGAATAATTTCATATTGTTCACAAAACAAATTAAAATTATTGGAAAAGTATTCACCACCTCTATCACTCCTTAAAATTTTAATTTTCTTTTCTAGATAATTTTCAACTTCATTCTTATATGTCTTAGACATGTCAAATGCTTCACTTTTATGTTTTATCAAATAAACACATGTATATCTAGAAAAGTCATCTATAAAAGTTATGAAATATTTATTTTCACCTCTAGTTAACATAACATTAAGTTCACATATATCAGTATGAATTAATTCTAAAATACTAGAGGTTGTCTTAACACTTTGATATGGTTTTTTAATCATTTTAGATTCTACACATATTTTGCATTTATGTTCATCATTTTTATCATATGAGATCAAGTCATATTTTTTCATGTGTTTCATTGTATTTCTACCAACATGACCTAATCTAACATGCCATAATGAAAATAAATTCACAACATAAGTAAAATTACTTTTATTCATTTCATTGTCAACGGTACATAATTTGACCATTCCTTCACACGAATAGTCTTTTCCAACAAATTTTCCATTAAGGGATAGTATAAGATTGTCGGACTCATAAACACATTTGATGTCCAGTTTTCCCAAGAGATTGCCACTAACTAGGCTACTATTCATATCCGGAACATGTAGTACATTAGTTAGAGTAACGATTTTCCCGTAAGTGAAGATAATGTCTACACTTCCTTTTCCAAACACCTTAGACCGCATCTCGTTACCCATTTGAATCTCTTGTTCTCCATCCACTTCTTGATAAGTTTTGAAAAAAGATTTATCATATGATACATGTACCGTAGCACAAGTATCATACCACCACCCGGGAACATTTTCTTTGATTGTGTTTACTTCACTTATGATGGCCACAATTTTGTCATCTTGAATAGAATTCACTTTGACCTCGAAGTTGTTTTATTTTTGGTGCCTACAATCCTTGACATAGTGACCAGATTTTCCACACACAAAACAACCTCCTTTTGTCTTCTACTTGGACTTGTTAAAGTTCCTAGAAGACTTCCTTTTGTTGAATTTTGCCGACAGTTCTATTTTTTTCACAGCATTTGTTTTAGAAGAGCCCTCATGAAAATTTTCAGTTTTATCACGTATTCTCGACTCTTCTTCGATTTGAAGATGCTTTTGCAATTGTTCCAAAGAATAATCTTCGGAACTATGCATGATCTTCTTCCGATATCCTTTCCAAGTTCCGAGAAGTTTGGCAATTATAGCCTCCACTTGAAAGGTCTCGGATATATCAATTTTTACCACCTTTAATTTGTTGACAATCACTTGCAACTCATGAACTTGGGGAAAAAGAGGGATATTTTCTAAGAATTTAAAATCAAAATACTTAGAAATAAAAAAAAAATTTATACCTTCTTCAGCCTTGTACCTTTTTGTTTTTTTTTTTAAACAAGAACTTTATTCAATCACCCCTCACTTATGGCGGAGGAATACCGTGGGGTTAAAATAACAAAGCGAAAAAAGATCCAAACAAGAGATGTAGAACTAATCAACCCATCTAGTTACACACCAACCTAACAATTATTTTTGTTGACAATCACTTGCAACTCATGAACTTGGGGAAAAAGAGGGATATTTTCTAAGAATTTAAAATCAAAATACTTAGAAATCAAAAAAAAATTTATACCTTCTTCAGCCTTGTACTTTTTTGTTTTTTTTTTTAAACAAGAACTTTATTCAATCACCCCTCACTTATGGCGGAGGAATACCGTGGGGTCAAAATAACAAAGCGAAAAAAGATCCAAACAAGAGATGTAGAACTAATCAACCCATCTAGTTACACACCAACCTAACAATTATGGCCTAATATTTGGAAAACCAAGTTTCTCCGTACGAATAATACCTCTTGACAAATTTGGTATTTAATCTATGTGCATGTAACTCATCGTGATACCATCCGCCCTTTGTCTGGCTAGAAAGTCTGCGGCTCTATTTGCTTCTCTATATTGGTGAGAAATGGTAAAACTGATTCCATCAAGTAATTTTAGTAACTCCTCCCAACAATCCCACAAATACCAAATCCTACATGAACGGTTTGTTAACCAGTTTACCACAACCGCTGAGTCACACTCAATTTCCACCTGTTGGAAGCCCATCTCTTTACATAGCTCTACACCAGTTATCACAGAACGCAACTCCGCTTCATTGTTACTTCCAAATCCGTATGGGGCAGAGAAGCCAGCAATCATATTACCATGATGATCCCTGATAACTCCCCCACCTCCACAAGGTCCCGGATTACCAAGACTACTCCCATCAATATTTAGTTTTACCCAACCATCAGCAGGTTTCTTCCAAGAAACAAAGAGGGTTGGTTTACTCGTCTTCGAACTCATAGGCACCTCTAAGGCTTTGAGGAGTTCATTGTCTATTTACTTAGTTTTGAGACTTTGACAATTTCTTCAGCTAAGAGGCGCAACCAAACCTTTATTTTAAGTCATACCTCCTCCGCAGATTCTCGAATCTCTTCCATAAATGCCTTACATCGCCGTCCCTATAGTTTCCATGTTATCAAGCTTGGTAATAGCCCAATTAGAATTCCACGTTGTGAGGCATTTTTTGCGCATGTGAACCATCTATTGACTCTTGTCCACCAAGATTGTGGCCCCATATAGTGCACACCCAAGGCTAAAGATGCCCACTTCCAAACTGTCGTAACAATATCCCCAGAGTTAAGTACATGATCAAGTGTTTCCACTTGTCCCTTCTCACAACAATCACAGCGTGAAGCTAGAGCAATTCCTATTGATCTCACCTTAGTATCCACACTTAAGCAGCCAAACTTCGCCTTCTACATACAAATAGAAATTTTTTTGGGTAGAAATTTATGCCATATCCATTTCATCCAAGGAATCTCTGGACTCCTCACACTTACAATATCCCAGGCGCTTGAAATGGAGAATTCTCCATTATCGTTCGGCTTCTATATGATAATATCACTTCCTTCTTTTCTAGCACCAATGGCTTGTACAATTTCCTCTGCCTTTACCTCCCCCACTAGCTCTTGAAGATGGGCGAGATCCCAACCATCTTCAATCCAGCAATCTCTAACCTTCAGTCTTGGGTTGGTTACCTCCAAGGCCTGCTCATTTAATGGGCCACTAGCTAACCAGCGATCATACCAAAATGAAGCTGACCTATCTTTGATCTTCCATTTTGAATTTTCATACACCTCAGGTAGCACCTTTACGATTGATTTCCACAAGCTTGATCCACTGGTGTTAGAGTTGAACAAAAGGTGACCGTTCTTTATGTATTTGCTATGGATAAAACTGGACCACAAACTATTACTCGTCATAAGCCGCCATGCAAGTTTCATACGGAGGGATCGTTGAATTGTAACAAAATCCCGTACCCCAAGTCCACCCTCTATAGTTAGCATACATACTTTAGACCAAGCACGCCATTTCTTTTTCTGTTTAGCATTACTCTCACCCCAGAAAAAAGTAGATAATAAGGAGTTTATGTTGTTGAGAGTTATCTTCGGAGCATTTACCACTGCTAACAAATGTGTTGCCATACATGTCAGAACATGTCGGATTAAAATAAGTCAACCTCCTTGAGATAGTAGTCTCATTTTCCAGCCTGCTATTTTGGTTCGAATTTTGGCTACCAAAGTCTCCAAATGCCTAGCTGTAAGATGACCAAAGGTGATGGGCACCCCTAAGTAGACCACAGGGAATTGCCCTTCAGTAAAACCAGTATGTCGAAGCAAGTTCCTCTTTCTTTTGTAGCTAATCCTTCTTGAAAAGAAAATAGCCGATTTCTCAGTATTGATCAATTGCCCCGACCACTTTTCATATGTATTCAGTGTCTTCATGAGCATTTTTATAGATTTACTACCTCCATTCACGAACACTACTACATCGTGGACATATAGTAGATGGGAGACCAAAGGGGCCCCAACAGGGTGATAGAACCTCCCAATGCTGCCATCTTCAAACCTCTTGCGTAAAAGACGTATTAAAACCTCTTCCATAATGATGAACAAATAAGGAGACAAAGGATTGCCTTGACGGAGCCCTCTGCTAGATTGGAAGAAACCTTTATAAGTCCCATTCATCATAACTGAAAACCAAGGAGTTGTAACACACTGAGATACCAAGTTACAAAACCTTCTAGAGAAGCCAAAGCCTTCAAGCACTCACAGTAAAAACCTCCAAACTACTCGGTCTTAAGCCTTTGTCATGTCGATTTTTAGCATAACATTGCCACCTATGGTTTTCCTGTTTAAAGAATGGACCATTTCCTGTGTAAGCGTGATGTTCTCAAAAATACTTCTATACGAGATGAACGCTCCTTGTTCAGGAGATACAATCTTTGGGAACACCCTTGTCAAGCGCTTGACAAGGATCTTTGAAAAAGCTTTGTAGACCACTGAACATAAGCTAATGGGTCTGAACTTATCAAAACTCCGAGGTTGGTCTACTTTCGGAATTAAGACAATGAATGAAGAGGTGTAGAATCTAGGTAGTGGACTGCCCTTGAAAAATTCTCTCGCTGCCTCCACCATGTCATCTTTCACTAAGTCCCAACACGAAATATACAGCATGTTTGGGAGTGATTTTGAGAATTGATTTTTTGACCGTTAGGAGAAAAGTGGGGTCCACCTATGAGAGAAAAAGTCAAATATGACGGCTGAAATAGTGAAATAAAGGTCAAAAAATCGATTTTTTTGGTGAAAAAATCGGGCCCAAACAGGCCCATAAAAACCAGATCCAAATCCATCAGGTCAGGGGCTACTCTCTGTTGGTATAGAAAAGAATGCATCCTTTACCTCTTCTTCTGTTGGTTCCACACATAAAAGATCGTTATCCTCTGCTGACACAACTGCAGAAAGTATGGAAGCCAGATCTCCTTGTTCACTTGTCCCATTCTCGCGCAAGGTTTGTTCAAAATATTTAACGGCACCATTATGAACCTCTTCTGGCGAAGCTAACACTATCCCATCAGATAGTCGCATAGAAGAGATGTGTGAAGACTTTCTCCGTTGATTAACCACTGCATGGAAAAATTTCGAGTTTTGGTCTCCTTCAACCAGCCATTTCTTCTTTGCTTTTTGTGCCAATCTGGTTTCTTCCCTTTTCTCCCAAAGTTGTAGCTCTGCCTTTGTATCAAGGAATTCTGCCTCTAAATTTGGGTCAAAACCACTTTGCCACTAATTATCCAGCAACTCAACTCTCTCTCTTCCAGTTCTTTAATATGGTGAGTAACATATCCAAAAATTTGTTTGTTCCAGATTCGTAACGCAAGCTTAGTTTTTTTTAGTTTAGCAGCCAACTTCCAAAGTCCCACCCTATTTTTTGGTTCTTTCCAAATCACCATAACCATCTGATTGAATGTATCATGCATACTCCACATATTCTGGAATCTAAAAGGAGATGGACCATACCTCAAGAATGCCTTGCTAAAGTGAATTAACATGGGACAATGATCAGAGCTTTTCCTTGATAGGAACTCCATTTCACAGAAATTATGTTCATTCAAGAGAACCGAGTTCACCATCACCCTATCTAACTTAGCCCACATCATTGCTTGACCACTTCGACCATTGCACCAAGACATACGTCTACCATGTGCTCTCATCTCCACGAGGCCACAATTGTCAAGGCAATCATTAAATTCTCCCATTGCCGACAGAGGTCTAGGTTGACCCCCAATTCTTTCTCCATCCTCACGAATAATGTTAAAATCGCCTGCCACTATTCATGGGTATTCATCCGTTTCAGTGTTCTCCAAGTTCCTCTAAAGTTCCCTACGATCATTTTGATTGCATTTTGCATAAAAAAAAGTGGCTAAGAATTTCTTTTGTTCATAACACAACCATCCTATCACCATTTGATCAGACATATCAACCATATCAAACTCATATTGATGATTCCAAATCACCCAAATTTTGCCTCCCATAGCTTCATTCGAACAGAAGTTATCGAAGCCTAGGGAGTATGCCACTCTTTGTAACTGACTTTCATCCATGAACGGTTCTGAAAGCACAAGAACCTGAACCTTATGTTTTCTAACAAAACTCAGTAATCTCTTTCTAGATGTGTGTATTCCTCGCACATTCCAAACTAAAATTGTCTCTATCATAAGTTCAGTTTGGAGGGGCGACTGACAACTCTTTGCGATGTCCTCACTGCCTTTGTCTCTAGCTTTTTTGATAAGTTCACCTCCATGTCCGAATTATAGCCTTTCTCCTTTCTCAGTTTCCTCAATGCTATATCCTCTTCTCCGTCCGAAAGTGACACCGGTAAAGTAGGGGCTTCAATATTCACGGAGTCTTTTGACTGTGGTTTAATTCTATTTTCTAATTCCAGTACCTCTGACACCAGTGCAGCATGGCCATCCATCAGTAACTTTGACTCCCTTAGTTTCATCCCACTTCCTCTGCAAGAATCCGTGTGACCACCTCAGCCTCCAAAACTGGATGAGAGTGTTGTATGGTGTCTCCTGGGTCAGTCTTTGAACCTTTAATATTCATCACTTCACTGTCCTTTTCAATTGTATGTTCATTACCAGAGTTATTCTCTATACCAACATATTTCCCATTCATTTCATTATTTAGGTCACACTCAGTATCAAATTCCAGCCTCTCCTGAATTGGATCAATCAAGCAATCTTCTAGATTATCCACTTCTTGTCGTATTTCACCTTCCTCCTTGTCATCGTGATCAATTTTCTCCAAGTTACTAGCATCAGTTCCCCTTGTTTTTGATACATCTGCAGTAGCCAAAGTGTCAACATTATTCCCGTGATGATCCAGCATATCATTTGTCTGCTTAGTGCTTGCTTCTATATGGGGATTGTTTTGCTTTATTCGCCAGAATTCTCTTCTTGTTACTTGTTTCACAACAATGGCAGTCCTCCCCTTATGTATTTCTCCTGTCCGACAAACGATAGCCGTGTGGCCTTGTCGAGAACATTTAGAACAGTAAAACCCCTGTCTTTCATATCTCGCCTCCTGCCATAGCTTTGTTGAGGCCATGACAATTGGGAACCCTTGTACAGGTTCCTCGTTAAGGTCCACTTCCACATAAATACGTGCCTGTGTCGCCTTAGTTCGGTTTATAGTAGCATTGTCCGTTCCAAAATATCGACTGAACCTCGTGGCAAAGATCTGTAGGCAGTCGATGCGGTACAAGTGTAGAGGAAGTCCTAGGAGAAAGATCCATTGTGGTGCGAGCGAGGACTCCTTCTCGAGGCTAAATTCTTTGGTCCACCGGAATAAGCGGAAAGGGCAGCCTGCCAAAGTTCTTCCTTCTCTCACCTAACTATGGAGAAAATCCTTCTCATTTTGCATCTGAATCAGGACATGGAAACAATCCATAAAACTCATCATAGGTATCTTAGTTAAGCCCCAAGTTTTGATAATAGTCGTACGAATAAGATTGATTGAGGGACATGACCGGAGGAACTTCAAAACCAAGGTAAATCGGAAGTCTTCAGCCGCCTTCGACATCTCATGTTCTAAAAATATGAAACCTTTCTCACCACCAATTTCTGTGGGAAACCTTAGGGAAAGGTTGAAGGATGTAAAGGATTTTTGTTTTTGGATGGCTTGAGCATATGACATGGGACCTGGATCACTCCTTGCAATGGTCCCCATCGATGTGGTCGCCACCAGAGGGGCATCGACCGCCGCCATGGAGGCAGATCCCCAAGTCGTCGAACCCTAGAACGTAAAAGGAAGATTAGCGTAAATTTTGGAGAAGGAAGGAAAGAGGATACACACCCTCACTTATTGGTCAGATTCATTCGCCTCAACAGTTGGTACCATTCCATAGGGTGGTTCCTCTTCCACAAGGAAATCGCTAGTGAATCGGTCTGTATCTAAAGTTTGTATGTATTCCTTGTTGTGATGATCGATGCGTCAACTTGTTTTCAAGTATTTTGGTTTGCGTATCACAGATTTATATGTAGTTTTCAGAAGTAAATGATGGTTCAAAACTGGATTACAGATAGTTTTATTTACTGTTAATAGGTAAAGTAGTTCAAGGATCCCCATTTGCCTTTGGCAAGATCTTTTGATGGAGATTAGTGGATCCGATAACGAACCATTGACTATACGGTTTGCACCACAATGATTTGCTGCTTCAGAATTGTGTGCACTCCATACATTATACCAAATTCCATGATGACTGTTGACCCCAAAAAGTGCGCCAACAGATGCCGGTCCCATCCGCGCTTGCGTGGGCAAATGGCCAACACGCTAAGACACGTGAACGGTCTAAAACGTGTGGTTCAAAGGGCGTGAGAGTAGCCCAGCGATGCGGGACGGTGACGTTCGGAATCCGGCGGGTTGTTCGTAATCCGATTGTTCAATAATTACCAACCGGTGTTCATAAATGTATATGTAAATGTGTATAAACTCGATTTGTGTATTGCAAGTAAAATGAGAGAGAGTTGAGTAAATGTAGTTCTTTGCATTAGCCTTTTGATATTACACAAGGAAAGTATTTATAGTAGTACATATGAAATGGGAGCCCTTGGATGAAGTGGCACGTGGCCTCATCTCTTTAGTTCAAACATCTTTTCCTAGGTATGGGGCTTGACTTGCTAGCTTGCGGCGCATTTATTGCTTGTGTAGGGCCTCCATGCTAGTGACAAGACTTGACCTTTATGCTTATGACAAACGTTCCATCAATCATTCGAATAGGATCTGTGCAGGCGATCTCTTGGGAGAAGTGACCATGGATGATGTTTCCTTGTGGTTCAGAGGCTCGCGCATCAGCTTCGGGGCTTTGGCCATTTGTCATGATACTTCCACTTGAGGGCCTCAGCTGCTCTCAA